GGCCGCCCTGCGCGGGGTGCCACCTTTCCCCTCCGCGCTTAGGCAGGAGGCGGACGTCGCCCGCAAAGGTGCCGCCTCCCGCCGAGCCGCTTGTCCCCGCGGGGCAGCGCCCTGTGTCCCCGGTGGCGGAAGATGCTGTGCCTCCCGGTGGCCTTCCAGGTGCTGCTGGTGCTGGCGCTGTGCAGCCAAGGGGCAGAGCGGTGTCCTTCAGCCTTGTGCGAGTGCTCTGACTGGGATGACTACAAAATCACTTGCAGGGACATCCACTTCATCCCCAGCCTTCCACAGGACACCCAGACCCTGTGAGTACAGTGGGGTGATTTAGGGGAGACCATAACCCTCTGTGAGCGTTCATATTGTGCAGGCAGGAGATGCCAGGAGCTCTCACATCCTGTGAGCCTGGGGAGGGCAGTGGCAACAGGGAGAGTGCTATGGCTTAGTTGGAAGCACAGGGTAACAGGAGTAAGCACCATGCAGAAACCACCTGTGGTCTAGGAGACACAAGAAGAGTGACCCTCCAACCTTAAGAAACAGTTATCCTTTGAGCCTTAAAAGTTCTGAGTAGGATATGGGAAAATCAGTCACTGGACTGTTTGTAGGCAAACAGAATGGAAGACTGGATTGTGTGTGGCATGTTCCTGCAGGGTGAGGGGAAGGAAGGATAAAGCACACAGCTTTATTTAAAGGAAACAAAAAAAAAAAAAAAAAAGTAGGAATCGCATGTGCCACCTCGCGAACAGTTCCACAAAGGTTTCTGTGTGCTTTCAGCTTCTTTGCCAAAGCCTGATAGAAAAAATTCATGGGAACCAAGAATGCCAATATACCATTGAGGAGGTAGTCGAAATAGGTGGTAAAAACAAGAGTGTGGAGTACATGACATAGCAGCAAATTTGGAGCTTGCCGAAGTGATAGGCACTGTCTCGAGTAATTCAGGTACTTAAACACGAGTGTTTAGTGCTGTTACGGGCACCTCACAATATCTTGTCTGAGCTCCAGCTGCCACTCCAGAAGAGCGTGTGTCCCCTCATAGGTCCTGAGCAATATCTGCCAGCCCTATATAGATGTCTCAGATAACTCTAGGGCAACTAAAAGGGCCCCAGTCAGCTATGTCTAAGCACCTGAATCACTCCCTGTCTTTTACTTTGTCTCGTAAGGCACAAAATGTTTCTATTCTCAAAAGGGAAGTTCGTAAGTAAATTACTTTCTGATAAAATAAACAAACTCAAACTCAGTTGATTTAATTGCGAGACAAAGCCATTACAAGTCGTTTGAGACATTACCAATAAGAGCCATGAAGTTGTTTGAATAATGGGCTTCTCAAAATTTTTTAACATCTACAAATAAAGGTTTAGCAAATTTATCACTTACCTGAAAATACAGAGAAAAATTGATTCGTATTATTTCCACTGTTTATGCATGTCTTTAGTTTTTTTGGATTATTAGACTATAGGCATATAAGTATTTCCGTTGATAAGTAAGATTTCAAATTTAACATTTTTGGCTTTAAATGTTATACTTTTGTATATGCAGTTAATTTGGTTTGAAATTGCAGGAATGTAAATGTATGTAACACTTAGCATATTCTTTGAAATCTATCATGACAATCTAGAAAGTAAATGATCAGCAGTTTCAGTTTATAGGAGAAATATGCATTGGTTTTTGATACAGGCATTTAAAGTAGCTAATAGAATCAATGAGACCATATAATGGAATTGGATACTTTCTTTGCAAAATGCTGTGTAGTGAATGCAAAGTACCTATCTCTATAGGCCCACAGATAAGTACTTAGGTTGCTGGAATTCTTGTGTTTTAAGCAGCAGTTGCAATGGGGCACTGTAAAGTCAAAAGCCACTGCTTTTAAAAGACAATAACACTGAGCTGGAATTTTATTTCCCTGAAAAAAAAATCAGCAAAAAGAATTGAAAAAATATTTTCTGATTATTTGAGTGTATCTTAATCATCTGTACCAATGGGGATGATCCTTCCAAACTTTTCAAGAAGTATATTCTTTAACATAGTCACTGCAAGACAAGGAAAAGTTCTGGCAAATGAAAATTGTGATTCTATGCTGTGTAGTAGAAAAGGCAGAACATATGCAGTGCGATCTGTTTGGTTTGTAAATAAATGAGAAAATTCTCCATGGAAATAAGGAAAACAGCTCTTTAGGGAAAAAAGGCCTTTTTTTACTTCAATATGCAGATTTCACTCTGGGTATGGTGTGTGCTTTTTTCCTCTGTGTCACTGTCTAGATTGCTGAAGTCTGGCAGGCTCTGTCTAATTCTGTACTTCCTCACTCTGGGCAAGAGACTGGATCTTTGTTTTGCTCCCATGTATTAAATGGGAGCAAAAAAATTTGTGTCTGTTTTCCATTCAGAGCACTTTCAAACACTTCAGGGTGACTTATTTTCACTTAAAGGGTAAAGTAATAAAAAAAAGTTTTCCTGAGCAAGTGTGAGGCATTTGTAATGTTTTACATCCTTCTGCCTTATAACTGGCAACATTTCTGAATTAGAGCGAAAAGATTCCAAAATAATTAACAATTCTGTTGTTCTTAAAAACAAATGAAGCCTTCTTTTGAAGTGAAGTATGTATGTGCATGTATGTGTTTATTGTATGCTGAAAATCTCTAAAATTTCCCCAAGTCCAGCAACTTTGTTACTTTGGATAAAGACCTTTTGGTTCATGGTTGTCACACATGAATCTCAAGTCTGAAGATTTTTAAGCATTCTTACATGGCTTTTCAGTTTTGTAGAATTTGTAAAGCTGAGAGACTGGTGAATCTGGGAACACCTTGCCAGCTTTTGGAGATGATGAGTTCTTTTCAGTGTGCAAGATCTTGAACTTCAATGAAAGCTTCATTCAGATTATTCAGTTGGGACTACTCTCATTTCTCTGCCCTACTTTAGGAGAGTGGTGTGGGCCTCTTTTTTTTTTTTTTTAACAAGCCATGCTTGTAAGAAATTGCAAAAAAGGTTTTCTTCCAAACTCCTCTAGTGGAACAGTGTCACGAACTTCAGGAAAGTGTGTTTGTTTTAGACTGATTTTAATGTATTTGTCCAAATAGAATTGATGTAGGTGCCTATCCAGAATGGCTCAGTGCACAAAAATTGTTCTTGGAGCTGCTTACTTTTCAATACAAGTTTTTTCTTTTTTTCTGTGGAATAAACAAGATAAGTAGAGAGAAAAAGATTTTTTGGTGTATTACAAGCAGAGCTTGTCGTGCTGCCAAAAGTTAAGGATTATATACCAATGCCATACCATGGTAGGGAAGCAATTCTAAGTGATATCAAAATATAGTACTGTCCCATAACTGTTCCCGAAAGTGCTCTCATCTCCCTCCTGAAACCGCTATGTATGACTAGTCAAAAGGCAGCATCTCCTGAGGCTAGTTCAGAGCTGTATGTGTGCTGAATGATTGTTACCCACAAAATGGGTAAGGGCTGAGCTCTCCCTGCTTTTTTATTCATTTATTTATTTATTTTCCAGAAGAGATGCTAATAAGGCTTCCATCCTCTAGCCAGATGCTATTTTCACATCACTTCAATCTCATTTGGTTGAAATTGGACGAGAAGGAGGTAGGAGGGAGAGTGGAACTGACAGGTAGATAAATGAACACAAAGATAGTACAGTCTTTAGGAAAATCCTTTTTACATGAGATAATAAGCTATCATCCTGCATCTGTTCCAGGCTAATGGCCGTATGTGAGATACTAGTCTTCAATAAATGCAAGGTAACTCACCCTTCAGGGGCATGTAGCCATGACTTATGTCATGTTTACTATGTGCTGTGGGCACATGTACACCAGGATAACAAGGTGCTGTGTGTCAGCTAGTCTGTTTAGTTCCCCATGCTGTTGTTAGCTTTTGATAAAAAGGAGATACGATACCTGTCTAATATATTTTACTCATTTAAAATATGATATTTAGAACTAGCAATGAAGATATATCAAATATTCACAAATACTTATTGATAAAATGCCTTTTTGAACTAGAGAACAAAATGTGTAGAGACTTAGCAGCTTTTCCTGTGATAGCTGCAACATCAGCATCTACATTTTTCATAAGCTTAACGAGTGTTTTAGAACATTTTGAGCTCACAGAAGCTATCAGTAAAACAGAAGGAGATGGAGTCTCTGTTTTACGTTGAAAAAAAATAGATTAGTTTAAAATATTTTCCCAAAATCTTTGTCTCAGGGGTTATCTTAAATTCAAAGATATCCTACCTTCAAGTAAGCTCAGTACTGTTGTCAGTTACTTTCCCACCTCGAGAGCCAAAGGCTTATACTATGAGTTTGACTCTTGAAACTACTAAAAAACCAGAGTAGGTATTAAAAAACCTGGTAGGATTTCAGGGAGAGTGTGGAGGGGGGGTTACTTTAAAAAAATCTAGTGAACCATGTAAACCTAAGTTGAAAGAATGTTAAATATTGGGCGAAGACTCAGAAGTCAGGAACTGCAATAGTTATGCTTGCGTATTAAAATTTTAACTCTTCACTTTTCCTTCTATGCTAATGCTAATTTTCAATTACGTTATATACTTTTTTCCTGTAGGACCACTGCATCAATCAGTTCCCAAATCCACAAAGCTTACTGTTATGGACAATTACTTAATATTTTATTTTGTCTTCATTCAGGGTATATATTCCACATTTTATTTCCTCTGTATTTCAGATCCAGGTCAGAATATAGAATTGGTAATTCTATCATGGTCTTTTTATAGGCTTCATTAATTCAGAATAAAGTATGTAGCCTCCTAAATACATCTTCATAAATGACCTTGCAACATGAGCATGTAATTATTATCCCTATTTTAATGATGAAGTACTGAGACTCTAAAAGAACAGGAAAAACACTAACACGGTTAAGTAGCCAACTAAAGCAAGCTATTGAAAGTAAAAGAGCACCCTTCAGAAAATGCAAGTCATATACAAATAGGGAAATCTCTGGGAAATTCAAGTTACACAAGCCAAAAGGTTTTTTGAGAAGAAACTTCTAAAATCATAGAAACTCAATATATTTTTTCAAATATAATAGAGGATAAGTCTGGAAAACTCCTATCAAATTGAAATGTCAGTAGAAAGCTTATTTGAAAAAAACCGAAAAATTAAAGAGAATTTTATTCCTTGGGCCATATAATGCTCAGGTAAGAATTCCCAAGAAACTAAAATATGAAATTGCTATATTACCTACTGTGGTATATAACCTACTGTTTAAATTAGCCATAGCACCAGAGGAATGGAAGGTCACTATGGATTTAAGCAAAAAAAAAAGGTGGTAATAAACTCTTAAATTTCAAAATACAG